GCCTATAAAACTGTGGTTATGAAGAGGAAACTTATGGAAGACTGTCCTCTGAAATTCTGAGGGAGAACTGGTGTGCTTCATCTGGATTTCAGAACTGATGCGGTTAAAAAAAAAAAGCCACCATAAAAAAACCCCAAAACAATTAAACAAGCACAGGTTGCAGCTTTCTTGTCCTAGCAGTTAATATTGCATAATTTGGGAATGCTTTGTACTTCCAAATATCAAGCTACTGCTTCAGTTCTTATTGTGGATTTAAAGTTCTAACTTTGGATGTACAAGTATGGAGGTGTGTGGAGATACTAAAGCAATGGGAATATATCCTTCTGTGGGAAGGAAAAAGTAACTGTGGTCAGGGCAGTCATTTGATCTTACTGGGGTAGTTTTGCAGAAAAGATAAGTCATCTTCAGGACCTAGCTGAAAATGTAAGTGGTTGCATAATTGAATATTAAAGCTTCTAGTACTTATCCTGTTCATTCTCTTGGTAGTTGTGTTTTAATACTCCTAACATAAAATAACACCCATAATGAAATAATAGAATTTAGAAATGAAGAGGATGAGGTATTGAACTGATGCCCATTACTTCATCTTCTTTTCGTAGAAGGTTTCCTGCCCTGATAAAATATTGAGCAGTTTGTAAGTGAGCAAGGACTTTTAGCCTTTGTATGCCGCTGTGAATTTGTGAGGTGAGTGTAGTTGTTACCCAAGGATGCCATGCTTGTTGGAGGCTTAGGTATGAGCAACTGGGTCAGGTTACTCGGACCCTGAATGCTCAAGTAATTCACAAGATAATTGTGTTAACTTGCAGTTATTGTATCTGCATGCCTTATAGTTGGCACCAAAAAAAATGGTGGTCTCTTCCAACATCTCAGCAGGTTCATCAGATTAGCTTATTATTCAGACTGAACATAATTTTTATAATATATACTATTACATATTTACCGATTTGTTTGTTAATATGCCACAAAGTACCGTGATGAATCATTACAACTAATCTTACTTGCCAAAATTAATGAGGTATATCTGTTAAAGCTATACTTTTTATGTTTTTATATACTGTCTATTTTCTTTCTTAGGAAATTGCTTTGTTTAATAAATCTGCAGGCTCTTTTCCTGTCATTAATTCAAAATAGATATGGAAGGAAATTTTCTTTAGGATATAGTCCGTTCTGCTTCAAAATTATGTTCTTTAAATGGCCTTCAATATAGCAAAGGGAAATTAATTTATATCCTTTAGAAGGGTATGTTAGGTGTTTTTCCATGAGTTTCACACCAATACTTTGTGCATTGGTGTAATGGAAACGTTGCATCCTCAACCTTTGGACCAGGTGTCAGTGGTTCCTTCACAAGTGCCAGCATCAGGTTGGCTTTGCTGTGTAATACAGCTCTTTGGTAAAACCTCTACAGATGTTGACTGGTAGAGGCAAGCTGTCCCAGCCTGTTCAGTGCTGCAGGAAGAACAGAAGACAGGGAAAAAGAGAACAGCTCCTTCTTAACAAGATCTTGTCTCATCAAGGCAAATTAAAATAACTATGTCATTTACCTGCGTCGTTTCCTGTCATGTGCTGCTTAACAGTCTATCTATGACCAACCTTTCAATACTCTGTCCTTTCAATACAATTTAGTCTTCTGCCCAATTTATTTGCTGTTACCAAAAGTCAGTATTATATTACTGAAGCATATCCATGCTGGAGAATTAAGACAGTAAAATATGGACTGCACTTTATGCTTATTATAAGTTGCATCCTTCTATTTCAGAAAAAATAGTAATA